ATGGGACAAATAATTCCTTTTGTGCTAAGATTTATGACCATTTGAAGTTGACCCAATCAACAATTTTCCTCTAATTGGTTGCTGACCCTCACTACGGTCAGACCTACGGACCGTGGATCGAACGACGATCTGTGCTGGTTGGCCGTCGTTTGCGTCAGAGGCTGGGTAAAGGGGCCCTCGATCCACGAACACAGACCACGGGCCGTGGTCTGACCTACGGACTGTGGATCTGTCCGTGGGTAGAGACTTAGCCGATTTTCTGAGCTGGTTTTAGGGAGGGGTTGCAGTGGTGAACCATGGACCACCAGAACGGGCCGTGGTCTGACCTACGGTCCGTGGATGGCAACCGTGGACTGCACCTGTAACTTCTCAAAATCTGCATTTTAGGTCTGTTTCGGATACGGGGTATTACATTTAAGTTAAAAGGAAAAAGTAGAGGGAGACCTACTTTTAATTTTTAACTTTTTTAAAGTCATTTTAAACTTATCTTAAGTTATTTTTTTACCTTGTCAAACACTTTCAAAAGCTAAAAATGATTTAAAAGTAGGTTTGACCAATTTTTAAGTCAATCCAGATAGGTTCTTAGTTACAGTGCTGAAATGATACCAAATAGGCCTCAAGGTTGGATAAATCGACGGGTAAAATTCACAAATAACCACTTTTAGTCTTTATAATTGAAAAATAATCATTATTGTGAAATTACAAATTCTACAAGTTAAGCTCCAGAATTGGTTATGGGGTTTTATGTGTGAAATTTGAAACTCCATTATTGTGATTATCTTTCAAAGATAATGCTGAAAAGTGTTCAGTTAACTCTGTTTCTACTAAATCAACATCAAAAGTAGATTCATTTTAGCATTTCAAAGAGCCATTTTGGCAATAAAGTAGGATGCCCTATAATATAAGAGAGAGGGCATAGGCCTAAATGCCACAAATACCAATTTACAACTATTTAAGTGTGCATAAAAATTTGCAAGTTTACACTTTGGAACAACTTTTTTTTTTTTTTTGGTAAAAACTTTGGAACAACTTCAAACACATATTGTTAGAGCTAGTTATTTTTGTTTGAACTTCAGCATTTGTGGATGAATTCTTATTCAATAATTATTGTTTTCCTACACTTCTAATTGTCTTGGCTATTTCTAATGACTACTAAATTGAGCATTGGAACAAATATTGTGTTTGAACACCAAGGAGTGTGATGATAATTATAGTACAAATTTATCACTCTTAATTAAAAGTTTTAAGCTTGAATTCGAACGATAGGTAGAGTAGTTTTTAGATAGAAGAAATAATTGATCTTAAGAAGATCACTATTGTTTATTTCAAAATAGCTTATATGAATCAGATGACTATTGATATGCTTAGTTGGACGATAAATAGGGGTGTTGGTAAAGGCATAAGTGGGGCCATTAGAGCTATTTACATCTATTTTTTAATTGAAAGAAGAAAGAAAACAACTATAATACCAAAACAAAAATAGAAAGAGTCGCGCTTCAAAGTAAAATTTTAATAACCAATTTCTATTGAAAGATGATGACAATAATAATAGTTAGCAGTAATAAAGTAACTTAGCATCTCTTTTTCAAGTGCAACCCTTAAAAGAGTTTAAAGCCTCGTGACCTCACTTTTTCTAATTATATATCTTATTAACAAAGAAAAGAGTAAAAGGGACCAAAGTGTTTTTTTTTTTAATTTGGTGTTCGAAGTTTACATTGGGCTTCAACTAAATTCGGATCGCGCATTATCGGACCCATTTAGGGATCACCCTCTCAACAAGATTTTCTTCATATTTAGGATTCAAACTCGAAACATGTAGTTAAGATTGAAATAGTCTCACCACTGCACCACAACTCGTATTGGTGGACCAAAGTGTTACTTATAAGAAACAAAACCCCAAAGATTCTTGGGAACATTGACAGATGGGATTTACCTTTACTTTTTTAAATCTAATCAAATACTTTTAAGTACGTTGAATGAAGGAATTTTGGTAGCTTTATCTTTTTTGAATATTTTTAAAAGAAAAAAAGAAATATTGAGACGATATCCACATTACAATTCGATTAAATTTAAATTTATACAACTTATTTCTCGGATAATGCTTTTAATAGAGTTTATTTTATTTCGAATGATTCAAATTCGAGGTCTTTAATTGAGGTGGAAGGATCCAAACCATTCCATCACAACGTAACCATGTAGTAGATAGGAAACACTTGGAAAAAGAGGAAGAGTATCTGATTTCACGGATCAATTTCAAACTATTGATAGAGCTTTTTACGAAAATAAGCTATTGTGAGAAAGCAAGGGTGCAACAGAAAAATAAAGAGTTATCGATCGATAATGTTATGCACTAAATAGTAAAAAAAATCATTATCAATCTAATTTAGTGACAAATTAATAATGATTTTTTACAAATCCTATTAGGTACGAAGCATCGAATTATATGTTGTACAAGTCTGTAGACATATAAAATCATCTTTCAATATCAAAGTTTAAAGTTAAGCAAAATTTTGATTTTTCACACAAATTTGGAGAGACACACTTGTTTTTATTATTATTTTTAAATGTCAAAGTGGTTACTATTGTCAAAAAAATTCTCCTCCAATCACGTCTATTTTTACTTTTTTACTTTTGTGATGATGACAAAAAGAGACCAATAGAGTTATTTTAATGTGTGCTCATGCTTCATTATTTTTAATAAGTTTCACTAACATTATATTATATGATTGTGTATGTAAATGCTAATACAATCTTATGAAGGAAGACATGAAATGAAAAAAAAAAAAAAACCTCACGTCAAAAAAGTTAGTATCACTTCAAGTCTTTTAGACCAATCATCAAACAACATAAAATTAGTTAGACAATCAAAATCATTACTCACATTGACAAAATTATTATAGTATACTATTATCATTTTAAAGTCTAAATAGAGCCTAACTCACATCATTTCTACACTTTTTTAGGTGCACACAAATCATGTTTGGTTTACCAACAAAAGGACTTTCATCTATTTGTTACACCCGCTTTAAAGTTTTGATTAATTTGAATTTGTATCACATAAAGTCTATTAAATAACATAATGACAACTAATTTATGCAAAATGCCACTTTTTGGCCCTATTTATGTTTAGTTCCTTTTTTAAAAAATTGAGTAAATATAAGCCTTAGAAATTATCTTTTCGGATAGTGTTAGATTCAAGTCTAATTTGCTCATATATTTTTCTATCCTACATATAAAGTATTAGATTGTCATCTAATGTTTGTAATAACTTGTAACATTTAACACTGTCATCTGACAATTCTTTTATAGGATTTGAAGTTTGATCAAGAGAAATTCTTAGACAGTGACATAAAAGTCCATATGTTACAAGAAAAAAAAATCATTTACTGAATAGTTATATCCTAACGAAAAATTTCTGAATTAAAGTTTCTTGTCCGCATTTTTTCATTTCTAAAACTCGAACCCGAGACATCCCATGTGTGTGGTAATAACAAAAGGCCTTTGCTTCACCTTCACCACATCTTTGATAATTGCCATCATTCCAATGCATCATCTTTTGACCTCCTAAATTTCCTATATCTTGGCCCCATTTCATTCATCAATCCGCCTTAATATGCTCAACTAAATCAAACCAACCCCCCTAGCCAAAATCATAATAATCAAATAAAATAACCTAATTCTAATACTAATATCATCCCCTTTTGGTGGAGTGAAGGGTGGGGAAATTGTTATAACCTTCTTTTATCAACTACAATATTGCCTAATCAACTTGTTTAACATGGTTAATTAGAAGAAATTTCAACTTATAGAATTCAAACAAGTAATATTGCTAATTTGCTAATTTTGATTGCTAAGTTAAGTATATGATTAGCTGAAATCGTTTAACTCTTATTGAAGAACACGTGGCCGGATGTGAAAGGTTGTAGTTAGCGATCATCCGAAGCTGATAGCTACAACTCAAAGCTTATATATGTGTTAAAAATTTCACTAACGAAACTTTAACGCACTAATTGAGCTAGCTAGAAGCAAAAGAAACTCCTATTAAAGTAAGGACAATTATAAACACAAAAAAAAGAGATTCATGGTTATACTAATACCAACTGACAACGAGGAATCAATTTCTTACTATTTATCTATTGATTTATAAAAGCGAGTACCGCAAATATAGGGATTCACTCAAGAACACCACTCTTGATTTCTTTTTAACTAGAAGAAAGTTGCTCAAAATTTTAATTAAATGATTTTACCCCACTCACTAATCATGTCTTATAATTTAAGTAAGTTACTCAAAAAATACAAGAGATGATTAGTGAGTGGGGTTAAGCCACTATCTAATTAATGGTCAATAAAGGTTCACAAGCTATGGTAACAACTTCCAAAGTACAATGCATTAATTTCTTTGATTTAACTCCATTAGATTCTTCTTTAAATTCAACACACCATTAAACATGCAATGAAAAAGTTTTCTCCATTAATTATGCTTATAAAGAACAACATTAATTGAAATATTAAAACCCCCTATTCAAAGCTTGTTTTCTCCTCATTGTCCATTCTTTGTCTCCTCCAACAAGTTCAACGTGACCTTTTTAAAGTCTATTTTTATTTTCTGTCTAATATTTATATTGACATATGATTAATTTTGAATTTATATCGTTTATATATATCATATTCAAAAGTTTAAAATCAAAATCTCTGATTTAAAATAAAAAAATACTTACCACTAGATTGCCACCCTTGTTCATTGAAGAATAAGATACAATTTCTATGTATTCTATTCATTTCAAATACATATTATGTTATACTTTTCAATCGTCAAACTATTTAAATTTTAATTAATATTTTAAAATGTATTTATTTTAAAATAAGCTCGCGATAAGTGAATTGTAACAACTATTTTGAGACGGAGGAAGTAACTATCTACCACCATATATTTCTCTTTGAACTCTGTAATATATAAATCCAAGCTCAGTCTTCATCGGTGTCACAGTCGCACACTTTTTTTTTTCTTCCAAGGCCTTCAACAATGGTGACTTCCATTTTCTTCTTTGTTCTGTTATTCACCACAGTTCTTTCACGAACAACTCCAGATAATGCCTCAAGAACAAAAATCCTCGACGTTTCTTCCTCCATTCAGAAAACCTATAATCCGTTCTCACTTGATTCGTCTCTGAATTCTCTGAAACATGAAGAAAATCAAATTTCTTCATCATTGCTGAGTTTTCAACTGCATTCTCGAGTAGCAGTTCGTGGGACTTCACATAAGGACTACAATTCATTGATGCTAGCTCGACTTGAACGTGACTCAGCTCGAGCTAAATCACTTCAAACTCGTGTAGATCTGGTTGTACAAGGAATTGGAAAATCGGATCTCAAACCGATGGAAACTGAGTTTCGAGAGATTCAAGCTGAGGAAATTGAAGGACCAATTATCTCCGGGACAAGTCAAGGAAGCGGTGAGTATTTCTCACGAATCGGAATCGGTCATCCGCCGAGTCAAGTTTATATGGTGTTAGACACAGGAAGTGATGTTAACTGGGTTCAATGTTCTCCTTGTGCTGATTGTTACCAACAAGCTGATCCAATTTTTGAACCTGCTTCGTCTTCGACGTTCTCTCCGCTCACTTGTGAAACGCAACAGTGTAAATCGCTTGATGTTTCTGAATGCAGGAATGATACTTGTTTATACGAAGTATCTTACGGAGATGGCTCGTATACAGTTGGAGATTTTGTGACGGAGAGTATCACATTTGCCGGTTCGTCTTCCGTTGAGAATGTAGCTATCGGCTGTGGACATAATAACGAAGGTTTATTCGTCGGAGCAGCAGGATTATTAGGTCTCGGCGGCGGCGCTTTATCATTTCCTTCACAGATAAATGCATCTTCCTTCTCTTACTGCTTAGTCGACCGTGACTCCGACTCTACCTCAACTCTCGAGTTCGGCGGCGCAACTCCGCCGAACGCCGTCACAGCTCCGATAATCAAAAACTCAAAACTGGAAACATTCTACTACGTAGACTTAACCGGAATCAGCGTCGCCGGCAATATGCTTTCAGTTAATCCATCAGATTTCGAAATAGCCGACAACGGCGACGGCGGAGTAATCGTCGATTCAGGTACGGCGGTGACGAGATTGAAGACGGACGTGTACAACACGCTCCGTGATGAGTTCGTGAAAGGGATGAGACACCTGCCGTCAACTAACGGCGTTGCGTTATTCGACACGTGTTACGATTTGAAATCGATGAAAAGCGTTGAGGTACCAACGGTGTCGTTTCATTTTTCTAACGGGAATGAGTTAGCGTTACCGGCTAAAAATTACCTGATACCTGTTGATTCATCGAGTACATTTTGTTTCGCCTTCGCTCCATCGTCGTCGTCGCTATCGATAATCGGTAACGTTCAACAGCAAGGGACACGTGTCAGTTTCGACCTGGTAAATTCTCTCATTGGATTCTCATCCAATCAATGCTAGTAGTAAAATTGTTTACTTCCCGTTTTACCCCTTAGTTAGGAAGTTATTTTCAATTTTGGTCAGGGCCTACTTAAAATAACTGTAACGTGATGAAGTGGGACCTGGTTCAGTATGCGTGTGTGTGTGTTATTATTGCAATTTCAGTATGTTTTTTTGTATAGTAATTTATTGATAGTGGGAGGGGTATTATGGGCAAACCATTGGAAAAACAATTGGAGTTGTTACGTACGGGTAGCAAAATTAGCCTATTAGGTGATTGACTTGGGTTACGGCTCAGTTCATTTTGATTCGGATTATGTTGGACTCGAGGTGATTGACTAATTCGATATTGGCTCAGCTCATTTTGATTCGGGTCATATTGGACATGTGGCTAAGTGAATGACTTTTAAAGAAATTTTATGCTATTACAATGTTGGGTTTATATAACTTTTTTTTTTCCTTTTAAGTTGGTGCTTTGTGTTTTCTTTCTCATTTCAATGAGAAATTCAACTAAGATATCACATGCATCTCTTCGTAATTATTTTTTTTAAAATAACCTAATAGGTCTCTAGTTCTTTTATGTGATTCATCCTTGTTGGCTTGCTCTCTATCGGTCTACCACATTTTTTTATTTTTTTTTTACTTGAATGATAGCTCATAATAGAAGGAAAGATTTAAAATATCTACATCCAAGGACATATAAAATATATATATTATTTTTAAAAAAGGTGAAGCAAAACTTGACTTGAACTTAGCACCCTTATGAATAATACTTTTAATCAAATCAGACAGATAATAGTCTCTACAGACATAAATAGTACATTTTTTTAGTATAAATAAAAGCTTCTAGAATTTGTCGTTATATGCATGTTCCGGTCATAACACGTCTAGTATGATACTATTGACATAATGCATAAACCTGATTCTTAATTTGACATTAATGGATATCTTTAATTTTGGGTATAGACAAACATACACTTAAACTTGAATAAAATTGAATAAATTGACACATCGTTCTACATGGCACCATACATGGCAATTTTGTGTCCTACGTGGCGTACTACTGTATTATGACATGTGTGTCTACTTGTTCAATTTTATACAAATTTAAATATTTACTTGTGCACATTCAAAGTTAGAAAACATAGTTGTCTGTTGAAGTCAAGTTAATGGTCATGTTTATGTATTATGTCAATACTATACTGCTCCTTCCCCTTCAATTTATATACTCGTACTTTTTACCAATCTTTATTTAATCACATCTAATTTAACATATACTTCAAATAAATTTTCGACTTCATTACTAATTTAAATTCAACAGGTTCAATAGTAAAATTTTAACATCTTTGACGACTTATAATTCTTGTTCTATAAAATAAATATATTGGTTACTAATATTTTTTTACCAGTTGCGAAGCTATATAGTATATCATTTGATGAGGATATCATAACTGATACCTCAAAATTAATTATTGACATAACAGGATGGTATTTTATCGTGCTTTATGATTCTAATACAACGTGTCTATAATTAGAATGAATTTATTGAACCATTACTATTGCATTCTTGAATGGTCAATCTTATTAAATTTAAATTTTGAAATTAACTCTTTAAGAAAAGAGTAAAACTTTATCTCATTAAAGTTTGTGGTACAAAAGTCATGTAAAAAGAAAAAAAATGCTACACCTTTTGTTTTTTCCCTTTGGACCAAACAGAGAAGCTAGAAAGAAGAATTCTTTTTTTACCTTATTATAAGAGGGAACCATTTTCATTTTCCACTTAAACCAAACATAGGACAAGTCAAAGTATTGAAAAAATCAAACATTACCGATAAAAACAGTGGTAAAATAGTAAGTACTTCTTATTTTTTTTATCAGAGATTTCAAATACAATTTCTGGTAGGTCCAAAATCATATTTACAGCACTTTATAACCTCTTAAGAAGAGATTTTTCACTACAAAACTGATTTAATCATGCCAATATAAATAACTAATATCGAATGAAAATCTTATTTTTTTTAGAATATTAAAGAGTAGCTAGAATGATTTAATTAAAGAGTATAAAGTCCCTATAGGTTATATAATAGGATGTAGTGTTGCTATCAATCTAATTCCCTCACACTACAAACTTTTATTAATTGGATCATAAATTAGAATAATTTAAAGAAGAACATGAACCTTTTTTACATCAAAGAATTGGAGAAAAAAACTCTATAAAACTTCAAAGTATATTTGGGGCAAGTACTTCTTACTTTAATTTTAAACTGTAAAAACAAATTGATTGATTTAATATAAATATTTATTAAGTCGTTGTCATCATATCTTATCCTATGAAAATGAACCATAACCACCATATATGCGACCAAAATAATAATACTATAAAAATGATTACTGTCCTGTCGATCTTATTGGCTTTATTAGGGAAAAGAAAACACAATTTTATCAACCTAATGTTGAATTTTCTTTGTTTATTCATATATTTACGTTTTCATATTTTGAATCATCATTATAATAGTTTTTATTCTTATTATTGTAATAGTAAGAAATGCTTTACCTCTTAAAAGAATAAGAATAAATAGAGTTCTGGGATAAGTTTGATTCATCTATTTCAAATTGAAAATTTAATCAATTATTATAAAGCAAATACAAAACGAGAATTAAGTTAGAAATTAGTAGAAAGTCAAGTGGTATAACATTTTGTGTTCTCTTCTCTTACTAGTGGTACTATCTAGTAATCACATAGTTTCTTTTCTTCAGCGTATATTACTACTATATGTTGCGTGCTTCAATTCATTTGTCGTTTAACTCTTGTTATTTTGTTGTCGTATTTTTATGTTATAATATGTATTTCAAATTTTTCTCTCTTTTTTCTCAAGTCGAGAGTCTATTAGATTCTATTACAGAATAAGTGTAAATAGGATCTCAATACATTTTGTTCTTCTTAAACCTCACTTATAAAATCACATCGATATATTATTATTATTATTTAATTATATAAATAGTTGGTTAAAATAGAAAATAAATATCAAATAATACAACACCTTCCCCACTTATTGAGAGTAAAATAAGTAGTAAACGAACAAAAGGAAAAAGGATCTTTGGTCCCAATAATTCAGATTTAATATTTTAATCATTAAAATTTTTAGAAGATTATCCAACGAAGAAACGTTGGCATTTTGCAAAAATATTCCCCTTTTTTCCTTATCGTTATACGCTACTCATATAAAAGTCCATTAAATTTAAATTTACGATGAAAATCAATCTCATATAATCATATTAAAAAGACATTTCATATCGAGAATATTTACCGCTCCACCGTAATAGTGTTTGTATTTCCCATTTTGTTAACCGTTACCTATCAGTTTCATTTCTAATAACCCATATGTAATTAGTCAATTTTCATAATTCCTAAATTAAACTTCCATTGACTCTTATCCTCTTTAATTCTCAATTAACTTAATTTTAATTTATAAACTAATCTTTTTCTCTGTGAAGAATTTATACCACCAATGTTACTTCTTCTCTCTGTTATAGTCATCCAGATCAACGAATTTTCTCCATGAATGATTCTCAGTTTTATTCACTTTCGTCCTCCTCATGCGACGGCTCCGGTTCTCCCTCCGGCGCTGCTCCGGCGCCGGTAAACATTTCACTACTTGCTCTTTTTTTCTTCAATTTTTGTAATTAACTATTGATTGTTTATTAGTGTAATTTTATGCTTATTTGTGTGAATATTGCGGTTGTTGTAGTTTAAATCGATGTTTAACAGTGAGCTCGTGAGGTAAATTGTGTTGAATTTACAACTTTATAAAGTATGTTTAGTTAAAATAAGACAAATTTTTTTGTTAATTAGTGTAATTTTACCGTTATTTGTGTGAATGTGTGGTTACTGTTTGTTTAAATTGATGTATTTACTAGTGTGCTTGTGGTTTTAAGTGGTTGAAGTATGTGTTGAATTTGCTAAAAAAAGTTTGAATTTTATGTTGTGGCTGTGGATTTTTAGTGTTAGATAAATTTGTAATGTTAAATTGCTTTGATTTTGTTGAATTTATGATATTTAATTTGATACTTAATTTATTGTATTCTCATGGATATGATGGTGTTGACTGGATAAATATGTTGATTTGACTTGTTAATTACTGGTAGTGGAAGAAATTGGTGTTTGTAAAATTAGTTTAGTAGAGAAATGATCTCATGAAAAGTTTATTTTTGAATAGTTAAAAGTGAATTTAAGTTCGTGAAAGTTGTATAAAAAAATTTGGAATGGCTCAAGAATTTTGGACATTTCGGAAAGGAAGTATGCATAAATTGGGACGACGGAAGTATAAAAGATTAGTATGTTTATCAGTACTCAAGATTTTAGCACTGATTATTCATTGTTTTGTGCTTTCTATGAATGTTAAGTTGTTTGTCAATCTAATTTCATTGTTGTGCTTATGATGTCTAACTCATGTTCAAATCCTACTTTAATATTTTCTTCTCCGAGCACTAATATATTACTTAAATGAATTCAGCATCTTAAACCACACAAAAACCACCATATAAAATGGAATCAGGCAGGGAGTACCGAGTACCAACTGAGTCCTACTTGTGCTATGCAGACATTGAGAAGTTTCAGATTTTAATTATTATTTATTTGTCTATTTGACTGCAGAATATGGTGGGGAGTAGTGCGAGTGGAGATGATATTAGATCTCGACAACTCACTTCACAAGTTTCACGGCATTGGCGAGATGTGTTTTGGATGGGGGTATTCATGCTGCATCTAGTGTTGATAGGTGTGGCACTTGCGGTATTGGGATTTAACAGGTTCAGGGAAAAGGATAGGCTCAAAATTGATAGGTTCACGAAGATGATCCTTGAGAATCAGCCTGGTTTGACCGAAGATTTTTGGCCTTTCTATACCGTAGCTGGTGCAGTGGGAACAGTTCTGGCATGGGCTTGGTTGGTTTTGCTTGGTTCAAGTGCTAGTAACATGATGAAGTTATCGGTTCACATCTTGACAACATATCTTGCTGTGATCAGTGTGCTGTGTTTCTGGCAGAAACAATTTTTCTGGGGTGTTGCATTTGCTGTTGGTGCAGCATTGCAGTTTTTGTACGTAATATCAATCATAGACAGGTATAGCTGAAAAGGATCATGATTTTTTAAAAATAAGAAAACAGAAAAGAATCTTGCCTTTATA